CAGACCCCCCCGGGAAGGGCGCTTGGAGATGCTCTGGGGGGGGGGGCGGGAGAGCAACGCCCTGGCCCCCCGAGAGCACCCCCCTGCAGATGCACCCAGGGGTGACAGTACATCATCTGACCGCCAGTATCCCAGCTCTCCGGGCAGAGGGGCAGGCCAGGAGAAAACCAGGCAGGGGCGTGATGTGACCCCGAGTGGCGAGGCGCCCGCAGCCGGGGGGAGCAAGCCCCCAGGCTGCCCTCTAAGCACAGGCCGGTGCTCCCTGCAAAGGACGCCACCAGACGCGATGTCTGCGGCCGACGAGCAGGGAGGGGGGCAGCGAGTCTCCCCCGCCTGCTGGGGCAGCGCCAGGGGCGCGAGCCGCGAGCGCCCGCAGGTGCAGGGATGGCACGCATGCGCACTCGCGAGCTGCAGGGATGGCGCGCATGCGCACTCGCGAGCCGGACCCGGGCCGCCGCGCGGAGCAGGTGCAAACCCACCTGTCGCCCTGGCTGTGCCGGTTCGCTAGTTTCCGAGCCTGGCGGTCCATCAGGCTTGTCCGCGACCGCGTTTTCTTCCAGGAGTAGTAGTACTTCACAAGGCTAGCAATTGTCTTATCTGGAAGCTAAGAAGAAACCCTGCTTAGCAGACGGTCTCCTCTTAAACTCCCACACCCGCACGAATGATAGTTCCGATGTTATTCGCCATTGTGAGGCTCAGCACGGCCGCGCCGCCCATCACACCCGCGCCACTGCCATTCCTGGGGGATGTTCCTGCTTGTTGGGGGCTCAGGCACTGGGGGTATTGGTTATCCGCTTTCCTTAGCCACTCAAATTTGTTTTCCATCTCTGCGAACGAGACATTTTTTATTGGCATGGAGTGTAAGTTGCATATATTTCACCTGCGGAAGGTGTACGAGCCAGCATTTTTCCAGAAGATTCTGCCCTGCGTTCTCCTGCCAGGCATCTCAGAGGCCCCCGCCGCCCCTCCCCCACAGCTCAGCGTCCCCCTCGCTGCGGCTGGACGCCGCTGGACACCTCATATAAATGGAATCACACCCCACGTGACCGCGGAGGTCTGGCTTCTGTCACTTGGCGGCACGCTTTGAAGAGCAAGCAGCCTTTCGCCTCTTAACAGTGAATTCCCTGAGCCATTTTGTTCGAATGCAGGTTTTCAGTGATAAAGAATGCACCCGGGCTTCAGCTACCAAATAAAGTCTCGGGCATGAACATGACTCATGGCGGGACAAGCTGCACACGGAACTGCCCTCTGCGGTGACGGGAGACGCTTTGGGCTTCCGCAAGCACCGTCTGATCTTCCACTCCAGTCACGAGAGTTTCGTGCAGTCCCTTTTCAGGCTTATTTTATTTTCAGACAACACTGAAAATGTAAGCGCCAGAAATAAAGACTGGTCTTTCTCCTCAAAAAAGACGTTGGCATCTGAGCAAAGCTTAAATAATACAGAAATAACAGGACTCTGAAAAGCTGGCTTTTACATCCAAAGGGATACAAACGGGCAGATAAAAGCCCCATGTTAAAAAAAAATGAAACGTTTAACAACTAAAACGGAAATTATGATTTCTCCTCCCCCGCCGGAACAGCTAACACTTAAAGCTCCGTCAGACCCCGTTAAGTCAAAGTAAAAATGAACTTATTAGAACGAAACTTCACTGTCTGGCATGTTGTAGAACACTGTGCTGTAGACAAATCCATGTATTTCCAAAATCATTTCAAAAAGTAAACTAGGGGCCCTCCCTGGGGGCGCAGCGGGTTCAGGCCGGCTCTGCAAGCCGGCCGCAGCCCCTGCAGCACTGGTTCGATCCCCGCCTGCCCCAGAGGGGACCCCCAGGGCGCGGCAGACCCCTCCTGCCTCCCCGCTGCTCCCCTCAGCAGTGGGCTTCGTCCGTCTGCCTGTCCTGCTCCCCACTCTGTGCCACCATACCATCTGCTGAATCCTGTGGAAGCTCTTCCCGTGGAAACTGAAGGCTTGCTCGAAGAGGACTTTATCTTCCACGGTCCACTCGTCCGGAAAGGGCGTGAAATTGGGGAGGTCAGCAAGGGACTTCTCGATGTTATGCTTGTGCCAGAACAACATGCCAAGCGCCTGCAACAGAAACCGTCCCTGGGGTCAGCGGGTCAGGTCCCCTCACGCGGCGCAAGCCCACCACGGTTGGGATGGAATCTTCAGCCTATGACGTCACAGCACACCCCAGGATTGCGGGCAGTGCCCGGGTGCAGAGGGCCGGGGACCCTGACTTCACTAACACCTGTCTAGGCACGCGATTCCGAGCGGGAAAATCGGGGACTCGATGCCTGAGGTTCTTCACTGGCGTGAAGCTCACAAAAGATGAAGTGAATTTACCACCATTTGAATCAGAAGAGCCAGAAACAATTTCTTTCTTCTATTGGAAGTAGCGAGCTTGTTTTTTACTGAGAATATTTAGGGGACATTCCCCCCCCCAAAAAAAAAAACCTACAGTGATTTTTTTTTTTTACATAGTGAGTTTTGGTTTATTTCTGGACGCCAGTAAGTCCTGTAAAACGCACATTAAAATGACTGTACCTGCAGCCAGGCACGTTTTAAATGATGCGCTCTCTCCTACAGACAGAAAGTCCGGACTGGAAAACAAAACTCACCCTCCACGGCTTCAACATCCACGAAAATCTACTTCAGGATAAATAACCCCTCCTGTTTCACAGACACGGCCTGTGAGGATTTCACCACGCGGCCTAGGCCTGGGAAGCCCAGGTCACGGACGAGCCACGGACGAGCCACTGACTCTACTATTCATTCCAGTAAAGGCTGAAACGCTACTTAGCCGAGGTGAGACTGAACCACCCATCATCTTCCTATTTCCACGATCACCACGGCCAGGCTGTGGGCAGATGCCACGAATATCTCACATAGGCGTGTGTGTTAAACACCTGTCTCCTCCAGTGACTTAACAGAAGTCCTCTGTGAATTATTTCACCTGAAATTCCTAAGTCTCAAATATTTCTTGAAATAAAAGCATCTCCTGGGTTTTTCAGATTAAAAAGATCAGGGAGTTACTTGTACTCGAAAATCGGGTCTGGGCCCTCCCTGGGGGCGCAGCGGGTTAAAGCCAAATGCTACGAAGCCGCTGCAGCGACTTCCACCCGGGCCAGGAGGGACCCCCAGGGCGCGCCAGACCCCTCCTGTCTCCCCAGGGCCCCCCTCAGCCGCGTTCTTCATCCATTGGCCTGTCCCGCTCCCTGCTCTGTCTCTGGGGAGTCCCCTCACCGCCCCCGCACCTCTGGCCTGCGCCCCACTTCTGTCTGCATCAATAAATAAGTCTAAAAAAAAAAAATCGCTTCCCTTTGAGGGGCCGCCGCCGAGCCGCCGCCGAGGACACCACACAGGGTCCCAAAAGCACTGTCAGGGCGCTGGGCACTGCACGGGGGGCGCCCGCCCGGGGTCCGCGGCCGCGCTCCACGCACCTGCTCCACATTGTAGCCATGCTTTTCCTTGGCGACCACGATGTACTCGTCCACTGCAAGGGAGGAAGAGCGTCAC